TATATATATATATATATAAAGGCCATGGCTACAAAGTACAAATGTTTGGATGTGAATAATATTATGGTATTAACACAGAGCTACTTGTCAAATGAAGTTAAAAACAAATGCTTATAAACCCAGTGGTGCCATGTTTACATTTACCAGTGGCTCTAGCCCTGTTCACACTTTTTTTTGACATCCAAGTTAAAGAACTGTTTAAGGAAAAAAAGGGCTGTATCTACGTCACACTCCCACTGTCACCCATACACCGGGAAATCATTTCTTTCGTGCCTGCTTAGCAATCCTAGCTGCTGAAGCTAGCTTTCTCCGCAACAGCGTCAACTTTATTTATCTTACTTACTTATCTTTTTGTGTGTCCAGAGCTCCATGATGCAGAACCTGTCATCCATGTTGTCAAATAAACTACCCTACTGTCAAGTAGCCCTTTCACAGAGGAGACTATCAAAGAGGCACTGAGCATGTGAATTGTAGGGTCAGCAAAGACCCAAAATAAGTACAGTACTTGTAAAATAAGGTATACAGTAGAATTTTCACAGAAGTCTGGCAAGAACTGTGTTAGAGTGGAGAGCCAGCTGTTATGAACAGAAAAGTTCTATTACAACTAACCCTCTGAAGTTAGGATGGCCCACCGAGGGGCCCTCCGTCATCTGTCAAAACAGATGCACGTCGTCATGTGTGAACATGTTATACATCTTTTAAAAGCTGAGTTCCTGGAGATTTGAATGGTGCCCAACATTTTACAATTGTCAAATTTGAACTGGAACTTGGGGAGACCTCAAGCTTTGATCCTGTAGTGTTTTTTAAGTCCTAATCAATATTCTAAGTTCATTTTCAAGGCAGATTTTGTGAAAAGAATTTAGACGACAATAAGATTCGCCTTTTCTTTCTGTTTTCAAACATCCATAGTTCAGTGACAGGAGCACTTACACAGATTCTGACTGTTGGCGGGGGATATTCAAAATGATAACATTTTGAATATTTCATAAAGAAACCAAAACTATGCTGATACTCCAAATGGTTCAAGAACAGCTACAAATTTACTTTGGGTGCACCTTTTTTTCAGGCGTTTTTGGCAAAGTTGCTCGACGTAAAATAAGATGGCGCCGACATTGGCAAGTTAGCACCCGTCCGAACACCGGAACACGCTAATGGCGGACGTCAGCCGTGGCAAAGGGCTCAAAGTCAAAAGTACATTAATTATTATCAGCAATGTTATTTGCACTATTTTGCACCACAAAGGACTGAGTAGTTGCAAAATCACAGCTCTCAAAATTATTTGTAATCAATTTAGCTTTAATAAGGGATTTTTTGGGGGGTCAATAGATTTAATTACATAAAATAAAAGGCAGACATGTTTACCTAAAAATGCAAAATTTGTATTAGAAGAAGCAGAGAGAAGATTGAATGTGATACTTTCCGAACATTTTTAACAGGAAATGTTGACAAAAATGCCTCGTAATTTATATTTGTCAACTGTGGGCATGTAAAGCCCTTTGAGACTTTTCTGTAAAAAGAATTTCAACATACACACTGAACAAATCAAAATATGTATTGGTCCATCTTAGACTTTATTTTTTGTCTATTTGTGCCAGTGATTCTAGGGCAAACAGTTAAAAGCCCAAAATCAGCTGGGATAGGCTCCAGCACACCCCTGACCCAAGCGGGGATGAGCAATACAGAAAATCGAGGGATGGGGGAATGGTTCTTGTGGTCACATCTCACAATCATGATAACGAAACCAACAGTGATTTTTTTTTTTTTTAATTGATTCGGGACCCTTTAAGAGCAGATACACACCTTTTATGTACTGTAGCACCTTTGGATAACATGGGACATTTGGAACATTGGGCAGTTGGTCTTAAATTTAATTTCACATGGAATTATAATGTCTTGAATTTAACTTGCCTTAAACTGGAGGAGACCTCCTCCCCCTTTTTTCTTTTTTTTTTTTTTTAAATCAGCGCAAACACAGCAAACAAATTTCAGAAGCCACAAAAATTCCAGGAATTCTCAGTTGGCTATAGCTGTAGAGACCTTTGGTGAGATGCATCATAATTACAGCACTTGGGTGCACGTCGTCAGTTTTAAGGATTGCGAACAGCCAACTTTTGAAGGCAACAAACGACACGCAAAGTAATTTGTGTAGTGGCATAAGTGTAAATCCTCGTGCGGCACGAGAAAGCATTTGTAGTCACCACCCTACTTGTTTTTCATTGGATTGTTCTGTGTTCAGTGTTTTTCAGAGAAATGTTGACTGTAACTATTACTTTACGACTGCTTTTGCATAGGTTAGTCGTAGAAGCATCCAAATTTGGGTTACATCGGTCGGAACAGAACTCGGTCAAGGACTCCCCTGTATCTTGTGTTATATGTACAGTTTGTCTGGTTCCTTTGCAAATAACATTTTTTTTTTGTTTGTTTTACAGGAATTAAAAAGATACCTGTACAAACAGTTGCAAAGGTATGTGGAAATAACAATGTTGTTTTTACTTATTATACAGTTACAGTTGATAATTATGTTAAGACATTTGTGAAGACAGTGGAAGCTCAGTCCACAAACTCAATTTGTTCCGAGGCTGCTTGCAATCCATAATGGAAGCAAACGGAAGCAATAGTTTCCATTTAAATGAATGGAAATAGAAGTAATCCGTTCCAGCCCCATAGCCAAGTGGCTTAGGTGGTACCTAAGGCACCTGACCACGCCAAACTGGGAGCATATCATCGAGACGGCGGACAAGCCCTCTATGCTGGAGCATTGGTGGCGAGGAGGACCATCTTTCACAGGGGTTACAGATTAAAATACACATCATCATATTTCGATGGCCATACAAATAGAACTCTGTCCGCAATTCATGCAAAACAGAGTGTTTACTTCTTTTCAGGATAAAAAAAACAAAAAAAAAAAAACATTAAAAACAACTCATGGCGACGTCCACCCATGCCTGCCAGTGAGAGCTGTCCGGGCTGCCCTTATAACAAAGTCGGATGCACATGTCACTTGTGTGGGAGATATACTGTGGGCTAATTTGTAGTTTGGAAAACAAATTAAACAGTTCATGAACTGAGCTTCCGTTGTGATTTGTTGTCTCCTTTCATGCAGTGTTGAGGGTCTTCACGCAATCGTGGTTACAGACCGAGATGGGGTTCCAGTTATCAAAGGTATGAAAACAATTTGCTGCCCTTTGGACATGTTTTACATGTGGCCAAAAATTAGGAATTTGCTTTTCTGGAAGATGATGGCAAATTAAAGAAGAGGCCACAAGTATTATACGAAGAGGAAGTATTGATTCAAGTCCTGTACTTCCGTGAAGGTAAAAATGAAACTATAGACCAGGGGTGGCCAACCCACGGCTCGCGAGGCGCATGCGGCTCTTTGGCTGGTTCAATGCGGCTCCCGGGCTTTCACACGACAAGCGTCGAAAACACCTCGGCAGTGGCGCTGCCATTCAAACAAAGGCGCTAAGCCAGTCAGCGAATTACCTCTGATTTTAAGGCTGGGGTGCCCAATACGTCACAATCGACCGGGAGCCAGCGGACTGGTTCCAAGTTGACCGCAAGGGGTAGGAGGAGGAAATGGGTGGGGAAAAAAGATTTCTTTGTCTGTGTCTTTAGCTTTCGTTCATATTCGGGCCGTTCCGGCTGTTGCTCATCGTGGTGTGCGTGCATATGTGTGCGAGTGCGTGCGCGCGTGCGCACACGAGGATGGGATGCCCATGTGTAAGATGTGGCTCTTTGCAGTAACACAGTAAAAAAATTGGCTCTTAGTCTCTGACTGGTTGGCCACCCCTTCTATCGACCCTTAAATGTAGTGAAACACACTCAAAAAAAAATCTCTAAATTTGTCCCTCTTTTATTAACTTAGTACTCATCTGAGAAGAGCAAAACAACCCATTTTGTCTCATGTTGTGCTCTAGCTAGTGTTGATTCAAATTGGACTATCAAAACATGCCCTCACAGCTTTGCTAACGTAGTGAACTGAGTAACAAATCATTTTCAATTAGCTCAAAAAATATGCCTGTATTGTTTTTTCCAGATTAGTTCTTCTTTGTTTTATATTTACGGAAAGAAGAACAAGTAGTTGGTGTTCCTGTAGCTTCACGTGACTGAGGTCTATTTCTCCATTCTTCCTTTAGTTGCCAATGACAACGCTCCAGTCCATGCGCTGAGACCAGGCTTCCTGTCCACATTTGCTCTGGCAACAGATCAAGGGAGCAAGTTGGGCCTCTCCAAAAACAAGAGTATTATCTGTTACTACAACAGCTACCAGGTCATACTCTCTCTGTTGTAACATAATTGGAAAAACTACTGATCAAAGAATGGTTCTGAAACACTTGAAATTTAGCCATTATGGAGAACTTTCTGGTACACAAACACACGCTTGCGTCCGTGTGTGGCAATCATTGTTCCTGACATTTATGATTGACAAGCACCATCTTCATCTATCCATTCTCTGAACTGTTTCGCCTCACTTGGGTCACAGGCGTGCAGGAGCCTATCCCAAGTGTCCTTGGGCATGGGTGTACGTGGGGTACACCCTTCACTGGTCGCCAGCCCATCGCGGGACACACTTTCACACTCACCATCACACCGACAAACATTGTGGACTTCAACCAACCTACCGTGCATGTTTTGGGAATATTTGAGAAAGCCTGGAGTACCCACGAGACATGGGGCAAACATGTAAACAGGAAGCCCGAAGCCCAGGTTCGAACCCACAATCTCGGAACTGTGAGGCGAATGTGCTCACTATTCACCCACTGTTCCACCACAGCCACCTTCTTGCACAGGATAAATAAACATAGACAAGAAAGTTGAAGTTTTTATTGTGTTGGATTAAGAAGTGATGGCATATCGCTGATGCTGGGAGAATTCCATGAATCTAAAATAATTGTTTTCAGGAAATCTAAAAAAAATTGTGCGTTTGTTAGGTCATTAACATTGCATCAGCTAACAGAGCAAGACATTGTTGCAATAAATATTGGGCAATAATTCACGCACGCACGCACGCACACACACACACACACACACACACACACACACACGTGGTTACTTAATAGTATCGATTTGGGCCAAAATATGCATTTGACCAAATTTTTATACATTACGTTTTGGACTGACGACATCAGTATGTAAATGTATATGGATCATTCTAAATTGTATTGTGTGACTGGTTGGCAACCAGTTCAGGGTGTAGCCCAGCTGGGATTGGCTCCAGCTCACACCCCCGACCTGTGAGAGAGTGAGAGAGAAAGAGTCGGCGCTGTGAAATATTTGCCTCCCTCCTGATTACTGTTTGTTGCATATTTGTCATATACAAAGGTTTCGGTTCATTAAACTAATTTTAATATCACACAGAGACTACCCAAGGAAATGCAAAATGCAGTTTCTAAATGCCAATTTAATTAAGGCACAAAAACAAAAATTCAAAACTACCTGTCCCTATGTGAAAAAGTAATCCCCCTCCCCTTGTTAAATCACAAAGTAACTGTGGCAACCGACAGTTTGAGGAAAGCTGAGTTCAATTTCACAGACAACACCCGAGCAGCGCATTTGTTGAATCAAGAAATCACATAAATAGTATCTGTCAAACAAAGTGAAGTAGGCTATAACATCTCAAGAAACCCAAACACAATCTCCTTTTCTGCTGTCCTCTTAGATGATGGTCTGACATGTCTATTGTCTCTTGTGTTCAACAGATTGTGCAGTTCAACCGGTTACCTCTTGTCATCAGTTTTATCGCCAGCAGCAATGCCAACACAGGTAAAAAAGGTTTTCCTCTCATTAGCGATTTATTGACCAAGTTTTGGCCTCTTACCATGAGATAATGAGGTGTGACTCCCCTGTCTTTTTTTTTCCAGGTCTCATCATGAGTTTGGAGAAGGATTTGGCTCCACTAATAAATGAGCTGAGACAGGTCGTAGAAGTGACATAAAGTTAGACCAACCATCAAAGCCTCAGAGTTCCACAGAGGAACTTCCCCAGGGTTTGTGTTTGTATCTTCGTCACTTCAATCATGATTTAATATATACACTCTGTGCTGTGTTGAAAACCATCCGATATTGGAAGTCTGAATAAATGTTTGATTTTAATACATCAAATATTTTTTATATCTTTTACACAGTGCATATTTCTCTATATAGCGCTTTCAGCGCGGCTGGAGCTTTAACAAAGCACATTCCAGAACATTTAACATTTGAGTTTGTTGTTCCAATTTCCAATCCCTGCGACAACCCATTGAGGCAATGGAAATGCACAATCCATAATTCACCATTTGCCTCTCCCTTTCTTCATTTTGGTTCCACACAATTTGTATGAGAACAATACCAGACACTGAACCATCATAAATGATTGTCTCGATCTCAGAACTCCTTGGTCCAAAGACACAATTTTTGATAGTTGACCCTAAATTCAAATTTCAGCTCGAGGAGCTCATCCACTCAGACAAGAATGACAGCCACCACACCTCCCAGCACAGAAGTACCCCCCCCCCCCCCCCCCCCCCCATGAGGAAATACCGGCGCTAAAGCTAAATAAAATAAATAAATGGAGCTAAAAACTGAAAGACCATAAGATTAGATAAAAATAGCCTTAAATCAGAGATGAAAGTCCTCCGGATTTTCCCGGAATTCCGGGTTTTTCACATTTTTATGAAAATGTCTCCGGAGAATTGAGGAAAATGTGTCGAAAATTAATCCGGATATTTGTTGACAACATTGAACGAAGACGCGTTCGAGTTCGTTGTTTTGCTTTCACGAGCGTAGCCATGTTGAGACACTAACACTAGTAACAGTAGAGATTTTCGTCTCTTTATCAACACATTTGCTAAACCCCAGTGGAACGAATAAAATACACCTTGGACAAGACAGTTGTTGTAAAAAATATATTTGGACAAAAAGGGAAACACACAGATTGGCAGAAAAACGTGTCCGTCTGACCTCGAATGTCGTCTCGGCTAGCTTAGCTGTTGTTGTGTGTGACGTCGGTGTGTGACGTCGTTGCGTCGGCGCTTATTGGTTGAAATCAAAAGATGCGCTTGCGTACATGTTCGCGCTGATGCGCGCACAGTAGAGAGCAGCGGACTCGCTCGAGTGGCGTCGCCACAACAGTAATACCCTCGCCTCGCATTCTCATGGCTTCGCCCTATCTCTGAGATTTTGGAACGAAATCTAAGTTAAACAAGACTGGATAAACATTTACATCTTTTATATTTCTGTTCCTGAAGAGGTTACATTAGCGGACAATTTTCCATCATTGACGGATTTTTTTTAAGAGTGGACGGGGAAAATTTAAGGCCGTCCGTCATTTTGACGGGATGAAATTTGAGCCATTCACCACAGTAGCAGTACGTCCTTAAGAATCGAGTGTGGCACTTGAAGAGAGAGAAGCAGCGAGACCAAAAACAACAATGACGGCTGGATCATAAAGATATGAAGGAGTTATTTGAATTGTCATTGCGAGAGTTTAGTACAGTACGTGTTGTGATGACGCCGCTTCTGTTTTTTGCGAACCACGGTCTCTCGTGGCCAAAACTATTCACGGCCTCGAAAAAAAAAAGTCAGCGAGAGAAGCCCGACCCGAACCCGAAGCAATGATTGACGATTTTAGGCCCGACCCGACCCGATCTTACCTAGATCGTACATGCATACATACATGCAACTTTTGCAAACACTTAATGTTTGGGAACTGAGATCACTAATTGTTGTAACTTTGTAGGTGGAATTCTTTCCCCATTCTTGCTAGATGTATAATTTCAGCTGTGCAACAGTCCAGAGTCTCTGTTGCCATTTGCAGGGCACACAAACACACACACACACGATCACACTTAGGGACCATTTTAAAGTGTTCCATTAACCTGCCACACATGTTGTGGGAAGACGGAGAACCCAGAGAAAAACGCACAGGCAAAAGGACAACATGCAAACTCCACACAGGTAGGTTGGGACCTGGAATCGAACCCTGCACATCTAAGTATGGATACTTGTTCCTCCAAAACCCATGAAATTAAATGTGGGGTTTCCCAGGATTCAATTTTAGGCCCAAAACATTCTAATCTTTGTATGCTTCCCCATGGGAATGTCATCAGGAAACGCGGCATCAGCTTCCACAGCTACGCTGATGACACACAGCTGTATATTGCTGAGTCTCCTGATGACACAGGGTCTATTGATAAAGTTTTAAATTGTACTTTCGATAGTAAGTCATGGATGGCAGAGAATTTCCTCCAGCCCAATCAGCACAAAACAGAGGTTTTAGTCATCAGAAACTTTTTCCAAAACTGTAATATTTCAAACCCTCACAATGTATGAAGAACTTGGGTGTCACTGTATTTAAGAGGAGGCTCAAGGCACATCTTTTTGGTTGAGCTTTTGAATGATTTATTTTTTAAATTCTTTTCATTTAACAGAGATGAAAGTGGACTTTACTGAAAATTCCGGAAAAAATAAAAAATTATATATACTGTGTGTGTGTGTGTGTGTGTGTGTGTGTGTGTGTGTGTGTGTGTGTGTGTGTGTGTGCACTATATACACGAGAGAGAGAGAGATAGATAGATAGATATTACCTCCGGCTCCGTGCTTGTTGCATAATTGTGTACAGCAATACCAGAGTGGCATCACATGGAACCAATACCCAGTTCAAGGTTGATTGAATTTCGCGACTGACATGACAACACAACTAAAGAGTGGCAGTTGATAAATTTATGCAGATGAAACCCAAAACGTATCTTCCAAGTGAACCTCATGGTTTCAAGACAAATGGAAGAATACATCTAAAATAGTTTTCTGTCGAGGAATCCTAAAACACCAAAATCAAGACTTGAGAATTCAACGTCTCCAGAATTGGTGTTGTTGTGTCCCGTGGACAGTAGAGGGTGCCAACATCTTATACACACGCACTGATAAATGAACAATGTTTTTGATATGAAATGTTTTATCGACCAAAACTCGTTTCAATGTGACTAGTCAATAAAACGGAACACGGAAACACAACAGGTTTAGTGTAGCCAATGTACCGGAAATGGTTTAAAGACTTTTCGTTAATACATCATATAACCTCATTCTAATCGCGATGCTGTGAGGATATGATGACGTGCTTGAACAGTAATCCATAATCCACCACCATGGGAGTAGGGTGTGTGTGTGTGTGGGGGGGGGGGGTGTCTATAAATGAAAATACACGTGCGAAGAATGTTAATTTTTAATGTTCAGTGTTAATTTATTTGTAGCATTTTGAACGTTTTGAATTAGCCTTAAACCGTAATGTGTCGGATGAGGCAGGAGAGGGATGTGACGCATACGGGACGGTGACCTACTTCAAACAGAGAACACTCGAAGCCCTCAATCGATGAGCAAACAATAAAATGCTTTTGTTTTCTTCAACTGATATGATTTTTTAAGACCATGTGAGGTTTACCTGGGCTGGAACGATCAATCGTAACAGAGGGAGGAAGGAAGGAAGGAAGGAAGGGAGCGAGGGAGGGAGGGAGGCAAGGGGGAGGGGTTGGCAGGAAAAAGGGAACAGGAGTTTTGGGCTTTCCATGCATCTAGATGTCTACTGCACTCGGAGAAAGAATTCTGGGACGGTATCGGAATAACCGGAGAGACACACTTGAAGAAAAGAGAAGGAGAACGTTCTTTTTTCAAACGGAGCGGTGTGAGCAGCAGGAATGTTGCCGGTGAGTTTTTGCAATGATGGGATGAACCACACATTTGATTATTGCTCTGGGCCAACTGCAACCAGTGATGAAATATCCTATGTATTTGTTTTTAAGTCCAAGTGGGAGGAAACTGTAACACAGGCACATATAGTTCAAATGTACTTTTATCTCTAATAATCAGTGGTATCCTATAGGCATTACATTGATTGTGCTTTCAATACCGTCAGTCAGTCATAGACCACGTGTTCCGATACAACAGCAAAATTTGAACCTTTATCCTTTTTTTTTTTGTTTTTTTTTGTGGGATCATTTTGTTCCATAATATATATATATATATACATATATATATATATAGTGGTACACACTTGGAAAAAATCATCTCAAATGAATTTTTCAAGTATTTTATGATGAGACGACTCAGCATACACAGGTAAGTTACTGAGGTGTAGTGCTGTTTGTTCTCACTTCATGACTTACTACTCGCACACACATGCACACATTTGACAAGCGAGACAATGCTGGAAGCAGCTACAGAAACAGAAAGCGAATCCACAGTACTTTATTATATCTTCAGCAACAAACTGCAATAGGTCAGCTTTATTGCTGCTATTTCTGACACGTTTAAAACAAAATACATCCAACAATAACATATTTGCAAACCATTATGAACTGTTTCCTTTTTACTTAGAACAATTATAAGTATCAAATGTTATTGTGCAGAACACAATATAAGTGGCATCAATTGAATAACTCAACATGCTGATGTCTCATACAATGTAGAATGGGTACGTTAACAGCACATCACTTTCACCAGGCATCTGTTCCCAGCCCTTGATAATTCAAGAATTTAGCGGAAATGACAAATTCTGCCTATCAGGTGGTTTTACGACCTTTCCCTACTTGGTTGTACACTGTTCTCATGAGTTGGGCTATGCAGAACTTTGTGGCTCTCTACATGGTAAAGAACGCAGCTCTGATGGACCAGGGGCCTGCGTTGCTGTAGACCAGGGGTCCCCAACCTTTTTTGCCCCACGGACCGGTTTATGTCAGACAATATTTAAGGGATTTAAGGTGTGGCGGAAATAATACAACAAAATAATATGGTATGAACTGCATGAAAACTGTGGTGTTTTCGAAATATAATAATAAACACAAGGAGCGTCTAATCTGGCCGCAACACTCTGATCGCTATGGTAATGTTTAATGCCTTCAAAATACGATACAACGCAAATTCAAAGTGCATGAAAATGACGACTCACCACAGGCCCGAGCTTGATTTTCTGCAACCAGACGGTCCCATCTCGGGGTAATAGGAGACAATGACACCTCAAGTGTGTGTTTTACGTCAAGTCTACTTCGTAATTTTGTTTTAGTCGCCATTGCTGCAGAAAAGCCCCGCCTCACACAGGTAGCATGTCGGAAATAGCAACAGTGCTACTGTGG